TAAACAGAGGAGGTTGGTTTTACAAACAGAAAATTGCTAACGAAAGCAGAAACACAAGAAAAAACAGATTGGTCATTTCAGTTACTTTCCTTGTAAAGTAGTAACAGGGAAATGTTCTGATTGGTAAAATGTAACTGATTGGTTAAGATCAGGTTACTTCAGGTTTGGTTTTTTTTTTTTTTTTTTTTTTTTTTTTTTTNTTTTTTTTTTTCTTTTTGATAAGGAACTTTATTATCATGCTGACTGAAGCTGGTCATATAACAACTTAGTTTTGCTTTGATGATGTATAACTTTAATATGAGTGGCTCCATGTGGGGTTTTTATTCTGTTCTCTTGGGACCCAGTACAGGAGCAAAACAGTGGCCTCCTATAATTTCTATTTAACATGTTTTACTCTTATCAAAAGGACAAGATTGTCCAAGGCTGTTTCAACCATAGTGTGACCTAATTATGAAAAAAGAACTTTGATTTTTACTTCTTTTGTAGTAAGAGCGAACATATTTACTGAGTCGGCTCTCCCTTTCATGATTGTCATTATATGAAGGAAGAAACTGGGGCACACAGGGGTTACATAACTACCCTGAGGTCATGCAGCTGGTGGGGGAAGCCTGGGTTGCATGTACTCAGGCAATTCCAGAGTCTGAGTTCACTGTGTCACTCAGGTTGGCTGGAGGAGAGAAAAAGCATCATCCTCCTCCCATTTCTCCTTGTGTTGAGGCTGTTACTGCAACCCAAGCAGACAGGTTGAGGGAATCAACTCAGTTATACAGGTGGAAGTAGAGGAAAAGGTACCAATGAGGACATAGCTAGGAAATATATTAGGCTAATGTAAAAAATATATTTAGGAAAAGCAAGATAACATTTAGCATGTGAGAGGTACCTGATGTGATTCCATGTCCCCTGAAGTATTTCCATGAGTTACTTTAGGAGTGGGCTGGTGGGGTGGCGGGAGGAGCTGAAGGGGATAGAGGGGAAAGTATATATTTGATTCACATATGTATTTCTGACTTGAAGTGAAATATGCTGGAAAACTGACACAGCTATGGTAAAGAAGAGTTACTTACTTCCTCTTTACCCCTGTGTACAGTCACTCATTAAAAGATAAGAAATTACGGTGGCTCACACCAGTAATCCCCACACTTTGGAGGCAGAGGCAGACAGATCACTTGAGGCCAGTAGTCTGAGACCAGCCTGGCCAACATGGCAAAACGCCATCTCTACCAAAAATTTTTAAAACTATTGCCCGGCAGGGTGGCACATGCCTGTAATCCCAGCTCCTTGGAGGCTGAGGGAGGAGGATCACTTGAGTTCAGGAGGTCGAGGCTGCAGTGAGCCGAGATCCTGACTCTGCACTAAGCCTGAGTGCAGTGACATCTGACATCAGGGGCTGATGATGAATTACTTAAAAAAAAAAAAGAAAAGAAATTCTGTTTAGTAAATCTTGAATATGATTGAGATGACAAAACCTTTGGGAATGAGAGAAAAAGGAGCTGTGGAGATAACAGTGCAAGTTCAGGATCTCAGAGAAGCTAAGAAATTTTGGTAGATGAGACAGAAAAAGAGATTAAGCAAACAGAGGGTTGTGGCCACCATCATGACAAGGAAACATGAAAAGCAAAGTTATAATGCTATAACCATGCTATAAGTTTATAAAACATTGTAGACTCCACAGTGTGCTTAGGGCAATATTTATAAACCTATGGACTGATGTTAAAATGGTTTTGTGCCCAGGTAGCATGTCTGCTACAGAGACAGAAGGCAGCATAAAAGTCTGAGTTGTAAGGATAATTAAAATCAGCAAGAAAAAGAATGGAAAAAGAAACTTGGTGGGCAGGGAGAGGAATTTATCTATCAAATGTGTTCTGCTATAGGCACAGCACAAGCTGTTGGCACAGCACCCTCTGGTGTCTGGGCGAGTCACTGCAGCTTTGCGGCGTGGTGCAAGCACATTGCTCAGCTCTGTTAACTTGAACAAATATTTACAGTAGTGTTCTCTCTAGTAACCCAGGGCCTACTTGGTGTACCTGGTTGTTGTTCTAAGCTTTAATCTTACCCCCTCTCCACCTCCAAATGGGGAGTTCAGGCCTGGCCTGGCTGGAGGCAAGGCTATGAATTGTACGCTGTGGAACTGTCTTTTAGTGCCTGGGAATTTGCCTACTAGTGCCCTTAGCAGGAATTGGGGGGGGGGGGGGACGGTGCTCTCCCATGTTTGAAATAAAGACCTTAGTCTTTATTTCAGTTTAACCTGCAGTTTAAAATTTCACGCAGTATGATGCAGCCATAAGAAAGAATGAGATCATGTCCTTTTCGGGGGCATGGATAAAGCTAGAAGCCATTATTCTCAGCAAACTAACACAGGAACAGAAAACTACCACATGTTTCTTACTCATAAGTGGGAGATGAACAATGAGAACACATGGACACAGGGAGGGGAACATCACACACCAGGGCCTGTCGGGGGGTGGGAGGCAAGGAGAAGGAGGGCATTAGGACAAATACCTAATGTATGCAGGGCTTAAAACCTAGATGTCGGGTTGGTAAGTGCCACAAACCACCATGGCACATATATACTTATATAACAAATCTGCATGTTCTGCCCATGTATCCCAGAACTTAAAGAAAAAAAAATTCACATGGTATAACAGAAGCATCACTTTATATAGCAGTCCCTGATGTCAGATGTGGGACCAGCAACAACTTTGAGAAAGGTTTTGGTGACAATCAGCTATCCTGAGGTGGCTATTTCTAGGTTGATTCCCTCCCTCCCTCCCTCCCTCCAACCCTTCATCCTTCCTTCCTTCCTTCCTTGTAGCCAGTCTAAATTATTAAGAGGTAAAAAAACTGCCTTAAGCCTTTTTGCCCCCATCAGATTGCTTTGGATGCCGCTCCACCATTTACTACTTTAGTGTTACCACGGGCAGTTTCCTCAGTCTCATCATATGAATAAGGGACAATAGTAGGATATACCATGTAGGGTTTTTGCGAGTATTAAATGAAGTAATGCCTGAAAAGCACACGGTACCTGACACAAGCCATTGAGCAGTACCAGCTAGACAGCAAAAGCATTATCGCTTTGAGCTTTGTTTCACTGGAGAAGAGGTTCAAATTAGCACTGAACCTCTTCAACAAAAAGGGCTGGTAACTAACTTGAGATGAGTGAAAGCCTCAGACCTTCCTTGGAAACACTATTTTGGATAGTGGTTATTTAACAACTACAAACACTTGGGTTTGGGGCTGAGCAGTGTACCTGGTGCTGAAGAGATAGGAGGCATGGTCTTTGCCTTCAAGGGGTTTATTATCTTGTTAGGAAAAGTAAAAGCCACTGATCACTTAGCACAGTGATAGTACTGAGAAGCATTTGTCTAGTGCCCTTTGGTGTTGTTTAATGCAGTGGGGTTGCCTATAAAAGCAACTAGATAAGTCCTTTTGGAAGGAGGCACACGTTGGAACAGTGCCTCCTCCCAGAACTTTCTTCCTGGGGCCCAGCTCTGACATTCTCATCACTTGTTTGGCAGCTCTTTGCACCACCCATGAAGGAAAAAAGATATTCCACCTTGGGGCTACGGTAGGGTACAGTGGAAGCAGGATTCATCCACTCTGGTGGCATGAACTTGACCAAGTTATTTAACTTCCCAGCTTCAGGTCTCTCATTTACAAACTATATGCTTTGGTGAGGACAAAGCCCAGCCCACTGTTTGGCACATGGCAGGTGCTGTGAACATTTCCATCTCTCTTTTTTCTTTTCTTTTTTTTTGATACAGAATCTCACTCTGTCACCCAGACTGGAGAGCAGTGGCACAATCTTGGCTTGCTGCCACCTCCCCCTCCTGGGTTCAGCCATTCTCCTACCTCAGCCTCCTGAGTAGCTGGGACTACAGGCATGTGCCACCATGTCTGGCTAATTTTTGTATTTTTAGTAGAGCTAGGGTTTCACCATGTTGATCCAGCTGGTCTCAAACTCCTGACCTCAAGTGATCTGCCTACCTCAGCCTCCCAAAAGTGCTGGGATTACAGGCATGAGCCACTGCGCCTGGCTACATCTCTCTTCTTGATTACCTTCAAATAATAAAATGAACAGTGGGATTGGCCACTCAGTGGCCATCCCTGTCACTAGGACTTTCCTAGCTAGTTGACAATGAGGAAAGAAGGCTTAGTAAACCAACACTACTGCCACTGCTACTGCTACTGCTACTAGCTGTGGATACCAGAATAGCTCAGATTGCTTTTGAACCTGTGAGAGAGGCCAAAATGCAGGTCCTATGTGTTCCCAAGGGGCCCCTAAAACACCACATGGGAAGTTTAGGAAAAGAGGACCAGGTATCAGTCTTTGTGCTGATGTAAAGGAAAGAGGTTGGCAGCACAGACACTTTATCCCACCTATCTGGAGGGAAATATCCTCAGGTCCAACTGTTCAGAAATGCCTGCATCCTTTCCCTGGAGGAATTTGTCAGACCAAACAAATCTGTACCTAAGAACGTGTTTCTCCAGGAAGACAGGATCTTGGATGGCAGATCTAGAGACCCAAACATCCCTTCTGCCTGGAGTTACATGTACTGTGCTTTTTCCTTAGTCTTGGGGAAGTTGCACCAGTGGGTAGGATGAGGTCAGCAATTACAGTCAGCTCTTCCTGGCTACGATTGGGCCTTTGGTTTGCAGGCTATTTCCCAGGGAGGGAACCCAGTGTCAGAACTTTATCTCACCCTGTTGCATGTCACTAGTGACAGCAAGTGTGGTCCTCTGTGTGCTTTCTGAGTATGCTGTGCATGCTGTTGTTGAGTCAGTTGCTGTGTTATGCAGAGAAGTGTTGAAGGGCTGGGCGGGTGTTTGCAGTGTGACATTTAGCACATCCTCTCAGGCATGCACCCAGCAGCAGTGTGGCCTGAGCTTGTGTTAAGTCTAAGAAGAAATAAACTAATGATGAAACTAATTGTTTTTAATGGAAAATGTTCATAAAGTTATTATGCATGCTAAATAACTTTTTCAATTTTTTTTTCTTTTAGGAGAACTATCCTATACCTGAACCAGGCCCAAATGGTAGGTTCTTGGGAAACACAACTTATATTTTATTATTTCCTGTTATTTCCCTTAGAGTCACATGTATGTTGTTCCCTTACCTCTCTTTTCCTGCTGTTTATTACTTTTGCCTCCATTAAAAAACTATGCCTTTGTTAGTGTGAGAACAGAGTCCACTGCCCACAGCATGACCTAGTAGGAAGTTTATCTTGGCTGAAATAAAAAGAATAGTGATCTAATCAGAAAAATTACTGTACCAGACTGCTGACTTGTCCCAGAGTTTTTGATGTGAAGTATATGGACCAGTGACAGAATTGTTCCTCTTTTGACCTAATGACAATGTACCCTATCTACCAGAAACTGCCGCTGGAGTTGCCAAATCATGTCCTAACCCTAACCCAACCTTTGAAAAGGCGTGAGTCTACAGAGCTTCTTAATCTTTAGCAAAGAGAGCATCATGCCAGCTTTCCCCACTCCCCAGGAAGGCCAGTTACTGAAGTGTGTGGCAGCCCAGGACCTTCTGTCCAGTGGCGGTGGGAGGGGCTGCATGGAGCCCTGTCCCCTGCCCTAATCAACCAAGCACAGAAAATGAGTGAGCACACTGGGGCGGGGCTTCCAACACCTTTACTCCACTCCTTCCAGGCCTCTCATTTGGTGAGCCTGTAGGGCTTAGCTGACATGCTGATGCCCGATGTGGCATCTTTAACTTCCCAGCTTCGGGTTTTTCATTTACAAACTGAGTGCTATGGTGAGGATAAAGTCCAGCCCACTGTCTGGCACACGGCAGGTGCTATAAACATCTCCATCCCTTTTTCTGTTGGCCTGGGCAGATCCCTGCTGACAGTTTTCCAGTCCCTCCCATCCATGGAATCCTGCTGTGTCATAATTGTGCAGGACCCTGAAGTGAGGTTGGGGGCAATGTGCAGAGTGTTTCTAGGTGCTCTCCCTCCCCTTCTCACACCTAGCCAGTCAGGTCCCCTTTCTGCCCTTGAGGAGTTGGGGGTGTCCTTTCCCACTTTATCCTACCTCACACCAGAACCACAGCTTCTGGGTGAACATTGGATCGAAGGCAGTTTTCCCGGGAGATCCAGAGCTTTGCTACTCAAAGCTTAGTTGGGTTATTGACTTAACAGTGGTAAGGATACAGACTAGATAGAATATAGCCATTCTGTGGGTGCTGAGCAACAATTGTTTATTTAGGGTTCAAGGATTTTCACCAAGATACCAGGACAGAGAAGTGAAAGAGTTACCTCGCTGTGTCCTGAAAAGTTGACCACTGATTCCAGAAGTGGCCAGGCTAGGGCTATCTTGGACCCAGAGTACAAGCTGGGGACCTGGTACAGCGTTCCTCCCTGAAGCAGCGTTCTGCGCCCACTCTCCTGCCTCTTGCTGCACTTGCATTGGAAGGGAAGAGTGCAGCAAGTGTTCTAGTCAAATCCAATCTCTTGCTACCAACTGCTACTTCAAGAGAGGAAATTCTGAGATGATTTTCGTAACTCAAACTTCTCCATGCCTTTAACTTGAGAATTCACCCTGCCATTTCTTATTCTGTTCACTAAAACTAAGGAGGAAGAAAGTTCTGAAGAGCCACTCATAGTAGTCTTTGGCAAGTACAGTGCATAGCAGAGATTTGGGTCTCTTTGTCTTTCTAAGGCAGAGTGGTTTTTTTCAGGGAGGTATTTGTAACCATCATCTCAGTCAGAGATGATGGTACTTACTGGTACTGATTTCAGCAAAGGGCCTCAGTACCATTATTTTAAACTTAGAAAACTGGCCAGGGGCAGTGGCTCATGCCTGTAATACCAGCACTTTGGGAGGCTGAGGCAGGCAGATCACCTGAGGTCAGGACTTTGAGACAAGCCTAGCCAACATGGTAAAACCCTGTCTTCTCTAAAAATACAAAAATTAGCTGGGCATGGTAACAGGCACCTGTAATCCCAGCTACTTGGAAGGCTGAGTCAGGAGAATCGCTTGAACCCAGGAGGCAGAGGTTGCTGTGAGCCGAGATCGCGCACTCCAGCCTGGGCAACAGAGGGAGACTGTCTCAGGAAAAAAAAAAAAAAAAAAAGGGAAAGCAAACAATAGGCATGAAGAACTCAACTTGATAGTTCAGAACATGTTGCGAAGCTGAGATTCTGCCAGACCTGTTCTCATAAATAGATAAGAATCAGGCATAGCATATTAATTGTTTGGAAAGTTATCTTTTGGAAAACAGTTTGTTCTCCTAAGTACTTGGTACATTTCATCCTACTAATGATATCTTGTTTACCCAATGTATTGGTCAGTGTTACCCAGAGAAACAAAACCACTAAGATATATGTGTATGTATGTATGTGTGTGTGTACAGAGGGCAGGCTGGAAATTCAGGTAAGAGTTGATGTTCCAGTCTTGAGGAGAATTTCTTCTCCTTCAGGAAACCTCAACTCAGTCTTTGCTTTTAAGACCTTCAAACTGATTGGATGAGGCTCACCCACATTACAGAGGGTAATCTACTTTACTCAAAGTCTATTGGTTTAAAAGTTAGTCATGCCTAACACATATCTTCAAACAGCGAGGCACTAGACCTTGCCAAGTTGACACATACAATCTGCCATCACATGTGGAAGCTTTTTTGCCTTGCGAGACTTAATCAGGGTTGCTATGTAGCTTTCCTCTGTGGTCTGAATTGTGTACTTGGCCTGGTAACCCAGCCCTCTCCTCTGGGCAGAGGGAAATCACTAAGGCACCTCAGAGTGATAGGGGTTGTTCCCTCTCTCACTGGTTTTTTCCTCCTTTCTTTTATCAGAGGTATTGCTGAGGATGCATTCTGTTGGAATCTGTGGCTCAGACGTCCACTACTGGCAGCATGGTCGAATTGGGGATTTTATTGTGAAAAAGCCCATGGTGCTGGGACATGAAGCTTCCGGAAGAGTCGTAAAAGTGGGATCATTGGTAAAGCACCTAAAACCAGGTCAGCAAGGTCCTTCAACTTATGTGTTTATTCAACATAAATATCTATGCATGCTTTCTTTGGGCCAGGCCCTCTGTTAAGCTCTGGAGTACAGCAGGGAACAAGACAGTCTGGGTCCATAGTCACATGGATCTTATCTTACACAAGGGAAGAGGGACCCGAGGCAGACAGATAGTTACTTGGTCACCATGTGTTAAGAGCAGTAGAAGAGAATTCAGGGTGTGATTAGTGTATGTTATCCAGACCCTTGGTTCATTTGAGGAAGGGACAATTAATGTAACGTCTGGAGCCAAGTAATAAATAAGCCAGGTAAAGGGCTGTAGAAAACATTTGAGGCATAGGAACCCAAACTGCCTTTACATGCTGAGAACCAGGGCTTTGGATATAATGTTTGATTTTTTTATTAGATGGCTGGGAAACCGCCAATATTTAACCTAGATTTACTTAATTCATTTTCCCAGTGGGAGGAATTATCAGCTGTGGCAGCTATGTTGTTCCTTGATACTGCGAATTAAATCCAAGTTGTCTTAGCGTAGTTAGCTGTTGGCTTTAACCTTCCTTTACTGGTGAGGCTGCTGTGCAGCCTGGAAATAATGTCAGATTATTTAGAGGAAGGTGGAGGTTCCCTTCACCTGGTGACATGAAGCACCATCTTGTGTTAGTTATAAAGTTCTCTGAAGCCAACCACATGGAAAGGGATTGACCAGCTGTAAAGAAGTAGGCATATGTCTTGTTTAGGGAGGTTAAGTCATTCTTCATTAGTGGAAGTCAAGAAAGCTCCTGTGGTGTTATGAAGCTATTCCATTGTAGAATGTTTATAGCTTCTAACAGCTACTGATGATTGGTTCTCACATGTGGGACAAGGTCTCTGACCATAAATTATAACAAAGAGTGGGATTCTCTAAATGTAAATTACAACAAGGGTGTAGTCAGTTGTCTACAATGAGTTCAGTCTTGTGCCACGAGCCTTGAGGGTGTAAAGATGTCAGGCCCTACATAAATACCAGCAATTACAGAGAAAGCCCATAGGGTACAATTAGGTGTGGGAAAGAACAGGCTTTAGGAGTTCAAAGGGCACTTGTTGTGGGCAGAGGTGGTTAAAGAGTTCATGGAGGAGATAGGTCTTTGAGCTAGACATCTAACAGTAATGACATTAATAAGAAGGTGGCTAATATTCTGGGTTCCCCTTTTCCAAGCCACGGAGCCCATCAATCCTGGAGTCCTGTGAAGGGTAACAGACAAAGAAAAGTTGTCCCTCCTCAAGAGATTGCCAAGCAGTTTGAGATTTGGGGAAATTAAACTTCCCAGTTTGAGGGATGCGTCTGAGAGATGCAATTACCCATCTGTGAGGAGAGGACAGAGGAGGAAAAAAGGAAAAAGCTTTTTTTTTTCCTTCTCCAGAGTCTGAGATCAAAAGAGTTCCAGTGATTTAGGAAGCACTTGAGAGGGATGCAGCCTGAAAATGATGGGTTGGTTACCCATCTGGAAAGAGAAGAAAAGGTGTCCCTTAACCTCTTTCCTCCTTTTGGAGTGACCCTGGGATGCGAGAAAGATAGAAAGGCTCAGCATTTTGGGAGGCTGAGGCAGGTGGATCATTTGAGGCCAGGAGTTCGACACCAGCCTGGCCAACATGGGGAAACCCTGTCCTACTAAAATTACAAAAATTAGCCAGGCATGGTGGCAGGCACGTGTAATCCCAGATACCCAGGAGGCTGAGGCAGGAGAATCGTTTGAACCTGGGAGGAGGAGGTTGCTGTGAGTTGAGATCACATCACTGTACTACAGCCTGGGTGACAAAGCCTGACTCTGTCTCAAAAAAAGAAAAAGTTAGAAAGGGCATCTTCCTTCTTCTCTTCCCTGCTGTGTCCTCTGGGTCCCAGCGACTGACATACGTACTGTCCCATGGGTGCAGGTGCAACCTTCACCCATGTAGTAGGGAGGCCTAGCGGTTAGGAATATTCACACTTATCTACGTGCCACCCTATCCTCTCACTGTAGGTAACCTTTGGGTTCCCTAGACCTTATCTATGCCATGTTTGTAAGCATGACATCCATCCACAAAGTGGGAGGGCCTAATCTGTGGGAATTAGTCATGCTCACCTGCATTGGGCCCCTTGACTTCCGCTGTTGTCTGCTTTAGGTCTAGTGTTCCATTCCAGGGCTTCAACCTGAAGCTTGGAATTGAGTTTGAGACAAAATAATTGCCTCAAGGGGTTGCATGGACTTATTAAATCCCAGGTGTCCCTCACCAGCCAGCAGCTAGCGGCCAGTGGGGTTACTCCTTTGCTGCCTCCTTTTCATAAGCCAAATGCTAAGGTAAAGCTGTGAAGCTGAGTCCTCCTCAAACACGGAATGGTGTCTTGTGAATTGAGGTCTTAACCTAATAAGACACCTTCAACTCCTGACATGGTAGAGAAAAGAAAAAAACAGCTTGAGGGCAGGGCTGTGTTAACTGATGACAGGGTGCAGAAAAGAGGTCCTTGGTGTTACCAAACTGAGCAAAACGAGACAATCCAGCCATCAGTCTTACTGTTTAAACAGACAATGGCTGATACCATAGAGACTAAAGGATGTGAAGTATTGCTACATTTAATAGCACATGCTAGTAAAAGTAATAGTAACAGAGTTTTCATGTTTGTCTTTTACCTGTGACCAATAACCCCACTACAAGGCTAATAACACTAAGCAAAAGATTATAGTAATTGAGACTGTCTGTCTGACATTCAGAAAGTGCCACAGTACATAATCCTACTTCAAAAAGTAAATTAAGCAAAATAATCCCAGCCGTGAAAAGGAACAAACTGTCATAAAGAGAACCCAGTCTGGGTTTTTTAAGGGAGTTTCTTTGAGATCTTTCCTGGCTGCATAGGTTTGCAGCCTGTTCACAGTCATGTTCAGATTCTCCAGTTTGCTCTAGGAGGAAAGTAGCTGGGTTTACGCAGGGACAGATTTTTAAATGGATTGTAGATCCTTCCAGCAGCAAAGCCTGATATTTGAGGAGGTGATTATCTGTTAGCCAGAGACTCCAGTATAGCTGGATGCAGAACAGGTGCCTCAAACGTATGGACTGAATGGCTGTCCTCCCTGTGATGGGGGCAGCATTGAGGCTAAAAGTTGTCTCTCAAGTGTGGCTTTGTCTTGACTGTTGAAGTTGGAATGTTGCTGTGAAATTGGGGAACTAGAGGCCTTGGACAAACGGCTAATGGGGCAGAGAAAAATCTCATTTCACTAGGTAGCATGGTAGGGACTGAAATGTTAGGTAAAAACTCTGATTCCAGATTTTTTCCAGGCAGAGGATAGAAAGAGAGGTTTGGGGTTTGATAGGCTGTCCCCACAGTATGCCTCCTAGCAGAAGAAAATTAACTTGTCTCATAGAGAAACTGTTCAAATTCATTGGGAAGTGCTGGGTTCTTACATGGAGAGAAAAAAAAATGGAGAGGAGGGTATTCACTGAGGGTGAAATATCCTCCCAGACAGTGCCATGAATGCCTATCATTAGGGGACAAAAAGGTCTTTACTAGGTGAAATTTTAGACTGAAATATTGAATTCCCCTGGTTCCTAGGAAATCACAAAAACAACAATTCTTTGAATTACATTCCTGGTTACTAAGGTACTGGCTGACTGTCCAACAATATTATATTCCCAGGTTGTAAAAACACCTTCAGCAGAGCACACAAAGAAGGGACAGGAGACATGATAGCCATGAAGGAGAGAATGGAAGAAAATACGATAGGAAAGACTGAAAGTCCTGGTGCCAACACTGCAACAGGCTGGAGGGGACTGTAGTTAGTTCAGGGGCCTTCAGATAACACCAAGGTGTAGCCTCAGCCAGAAACCTTCAGTTGCCCTAGGCCCTCTTTCCAACTAACTCCATGTGACAGCTAGGTCTTCCATGAATGGAAACTGGATTGGAACAGAGCCAATATTCCCAACACCCAAGGGCGATGGGGGATTGACAGAGTCTTCTCCAGCAAGCCTGTCCTCTTGAGTCTTACAGATCTGGTGGCTTCACTAACCACTCTTAACTGGCCAACAGAGGCCTGGTGTTTGTTTGATTTTGAGAGAAAAAAAACTGTGTAGAAGGCAAAGTATTGAAGGTCTGCTCCTACTCACCCTCAGACATATCCCAGACGAGCCCTTACAAATGAAGCAGTCTAGGGTCAGTGTAGCAGTCTCTTTGTCTGAGGTGTTATCCAGAGTTCTTTGTCTCATGACCAAGAAAATTAAGGAGCGTGGACACCAAGGGTGAGGTTGGAGTGAAAGTTTAATAAGCGAAAGAGGAAAGCTCTCAGCAACAGAACAAGGGGACCTGAAAGAAGGTTGTCATTTTACAGTTAAATACAAAGGTTTTTATAAGAAACTTTCCTTATCTGTGTAGGTGCCTGTGTAGTTTCCCTTATCTGTGTAGCTGTAAGCATGTCTTAGGCAAGCACAGGGTGCAGCTTCTCTTGTCTGATCAACTGCAGACATGTTTTAGGCAAGCCCCTGCACCACCCCGGTGTAAGTTCCCATGGAGGGCATTGTGTACATGCCTGAAAAGGGGAGGAAACTTTTTCCTGGGAGCCCACTGATTACACAGAATACCAAGGTGTTTCTGTGTTGGGCCTCTCTCCCTTATCTGTGCCTGCAGCTTGATTTTTTTCCAGGCTGCTCTTTTGTTTGAAAGAATTTAACTAAGGACCTGCCCTAACTGTCTGCCTGCTTTTTTTCTTTCTCCTCCCCGACTTGGGAGGCTGAGGCAGGAGGATCACCTGAACTTGGGGAGGTTGAGGCTGCAGTGAGCTGTGACTGTACCACTGTACTCCAGCCTGGGTGACAGACTAAGATCCTGTCTCAAACAACAAACAAACAAAAAACCAAAAAAAAAAAAAAAAAAAAAAAAAAAAAAAAAAAAAAAAAAAAAAAAAAAAAAAAAAAAAAAAAAAAAAAAAGAAAGAAAGAAAGAAAGAAACACGCAACCCCCAAAAATCCAACAATGAGAAAACTGGAAACAACCAGGTTTCTATCAATAGGAGAATAGTGATACTGAATATGGTATACTCTTACAAGGAAACACTATTTAGCTGTGAAAAGGAACAAACTGTCGTTTGTTTTCAAGACAGAGCCGCTCACCCAGGTTGGAATGCAATGGTATGATCACGGCTCTCTGCAGCCACAACCTCCTGGGCCCAAATGATTCTCCCACCTCAGCCTCACAAGTAGCTGGGACCATAGGCGCATACCACCACCATTCCCAGCTAATTAAAAAAAAATTTTTTTTTGTAAAGATGCCCAGGTTGGTATCAAACTCCTGGGCTCAAGCAATCCTCCTGCCTTGAGCTCTCAAAGGGCTGGAATTATGGGATTATAGGCATGAGCCACCACACCTGGCCAGACAAACAAGCTGTCAATACTACAACATAGATCAATCCGAAAAGTATCATACTAACTGAAAGAAGCAAGATTCAAGAGTATCCCATTTTTGTGATGCTAGAACAGGCAATACTAATCTGTGGTACAAAAAAATCATTGGTGTTCTCTGGGGATGGAGATGGGGATTAACTGGGAAGGGATACAGAGGAATAAGATTTCTGAGGTAGTGGTAGCGTTCTGTATCTTAAAAGGGGTTTGCATTACTAGGTGATACCTTTGGAAAGAACCATAAACAAATACTGAACTCTAGTTAATGATGTGCAGGCTGGAGCATTTAAGGGTGAAGTATACTGATGTCTGTAGCTCGCTATGAAATGCATCAGAGAAGATTGATGGAAGGAGAGACAGAGTTGAGACGGAGGGGTAGATGGGTAGATACATGATAAAGTGAACATAACTAGATGTTCCTTGAAGGATGTAGGAGGAGGGTATCCAGGTGTTTACTACACAAGTCTTTGAATTTTGCTGTGTTTGAAATTCTTCATAATAAAAAGATAGGGGGAAAAAAACAACAAAACAGTTAGAGAGCAGTTCTCAGGCTGGGTTTCCAAGCAGGTGTAGTGAGGCATAGAGTAGAAGTATAATAGACCTGGCTGTTCACAAGCCTCAAACATTACTCTCCATTGTGCCAGAGGCCTTGCATGTCATTGGCCTTTGCAGTTCTGCTACCAGGAATCAGTTGACTACTAGTTATTGTCTAAAAACGACCAGACGGAACATAAAACATGCTGTAATTATGGCTCTTGATTTTGTAAAGGCTTTGCTCTGTACTTTCCAAACAGATGAAGAAAAAGTGCCTGCAAACTCCATGTTTTAACTACCCCTTTTGCAGCACTTGTGACATGGGAACTATACGTGGCTTGCCTTAGCTGGGAAGTGGTTGTGGAGATAGGGGGATGGCTTGGCTTGTTACAGGGGTTGGAAAAAGGGCAGGCCACACTGGACTGTGGAGGAGGGGGCTGGTCCTTTTCTCCCAGAGTGAGTCTGTGCTTCATCTCGAGTTTCCTTACGTGCCTGGGGCACCCTGAGTCCTCAGGGAGGAGGGTGGCTCATTAAGCTAGATTCTCTCATCTGGCATCTTCCCATGAGCATGCAAGCCTTCACAGTATCTCTGCTTCTGCTGTTTTCAAAGGTTGGAAAACAAAGAACCAGAGCAAAGAGGGGACAGACTCTGCTCCCACCCTCGGACATGACGCCATCTTTGTTTTCCGCTCCAGGTGATCGTGTTGCCATCGAGCCTGGTGCTCCCCGAGAAACTGATGAATTCTGCAAGATTGGCCGATACAACCTGTCGCCTACCATCTTCTTCTGTGCCACACCCCCCGATGATGGGAACCTCTGCCGGTTCTACAAGCACAATGCAGCCTTCTGCTACAAGTTAGTATCCACAGTCCCAGTGGGTCACCTGGGACCTCTTTCCCTTCATTAGTTTGGTATTCTCTTCTAGTTTCCTGTGGTTATTTCTTTATTCTTTTAGGTCATAATTCCAAACACGAGGCATCCCCTGGGCAGGCTGCTCTTGGTGGTGGCATTGAGGGAGGGTAGCCTCCCTAGGAATAAGACTGACTCACAGTGGCTGGTTTTAGTCTTTCAATTTCAGTTTCCCTTACTTAGAGCAACATTAGAAAACTATTGCTGAATATCACTCACCCTCTGCAGACATCCTGGAGAGAACTCCTGTGGTTCATCCTCCATTATTAGTTTCTACTGCAACTATCAGAAAAGAAACCTACAACAATGACCTCGACAATAACAACACCACACCGTGACAGCAACGGCTGACATTTCCTGAGGAACCGTGGTGCACTGCCAGGGCTAAAGCTCTGGGGTCCTGGATCTACTCCCTCCTAGCCAGTGATTTGGGAGAAATGATTTAACTTTTCTCTGCTTCAGCTTCATTTAATCACCAAAGTATTAAATAAGGTGATGCATGGAGAGTCCTAATTGTTATTACTATATGCCTGCCCTTGTGCTAATAAGTGGTTTGCATGCCTTAACTTATTTAATCTCCACAAGAATAATGGTGAGGTGAGCACTGTTATTGGGTTAACCCAGGCAGAAGGAAGCTCGTTGACTTGGGCACAGAGCAGAGCCAAGAGTCAAACTGGGGTCTCTGTGATACTCAAGCTCCTGCCCTTTTCCCACTCCCCTATCCTGCTCCAATTCTCACCCCTGGAATTGTGAAGTTGAGTCTGGAAGAAGCAAAGTGCTGTCCTTTCTGCATGGCCCCTCCATGGCCCCAGCCTTTAAGCACTGGGGTGCTGAAGTGCAGCTCTCTCCCTGACCCAACCCAGATGCACTCCCCTCCTACCCCAGCCTGGCCCCCGTGGTGGTTGTCAGCCAGGATGCGACCTGTCTGATGGAGGCCAGGTGCCAGTCACAGGAGCAGTCCCAGAGATCTGAGTTTTTCTAGGGCCCACTGGGAGCCTTGTGAGGAGTCACAGAGCAGAGCCCTTGTGATGGGTTTAAGTCAACACCTGAACCTGCTCTAGAAGTAAGCAGGTTCCGTGTGCAGAGTCCACCTTTCAGCAAGTGCTTTCTGAATGAGCCCGTCTCTTTTGGGCCCTTTCCAAGTCAAGGGACCAAACAAAAGTTTCATGGAAGGCAGAAGGGCATAATGGTGAAGCCCACTGGTCTTTGCTGATTACAATTGTGTGACCTTGAGCAGATTACTTAAATTTTGTAATTTTGATATCCTCACCTGTAAAATATAGTAATGGTACCTCCCTCACAGAATTATTGATGAGATCCAGTGAGAAAGACATATCAAGTCTCCAGCCTGAGGTCTGGCACAGTGTAGGTGCCCAGTAAATGGTAGCAAGCTTTGCCACAGCCGTGGCCTAGTGGTCTGGGGATGGAGGTCCAGGATTAGGAAAGAGAGCCTTGTGCTGGCGGTTTGTAGGGAATGATGGGGCCATGGTTGGCAGTGGCAATGGGGGTGCTGAGGAAGGTCTCTGGGGCATCATACAGCCTCTGCCTCTCTTCTCCTCCCAGGGTGCTTTCTGCCCATATCCCCAGTTCTACCCTGGACCCAAACCCTCCTCTCTGATGTCTTTTTAGGATCCCCATATTACCATGACCTCTTTATTTTCATACTCACCTATTTTCTATTTTCCTGCTTCATTCTTGGCTTCTTGATCATCCATTACCCTCTTTGGCCTATTTCCTGAACCCCATTGTAAAAACTACCAAGTTGCCTCATCACTCCCTAGTGTTTATCAAGTCATGAAAGGTTAGGGCTGGAGAGAAAGTTGGAATCTTCTCATCCTCGTTCCCTATGAAACCCCACTTGACAAGAATGGGGAGGGTGGACTCAGTGGCTCTCCCAAGGTCAGTGGCAGCAGGGCTGGGCTCCAGGACTCCTTGTGCACCCTTCTGGTTACACCCCAGGTGGCTTTCCAACACGGTTAGCTGTGTTGGGTACAAGGGGATGAGGCAGCGTCTGCTTAATCCGTAGGGTGCTCTCCCTGAAAAATCTTCCCTCATCACCTTCCCCAGTCTCAGCTCTCCTCGGTGCAGTTCTCATGCAGGCCACCCTTTGCATAGAGCCCTGATGAGTTCTGCAGGGGGCCCACATGTGGAGGGGCAGGCGTGTCTGGGAGCCTGTGGAGGGGGCGGTCCCTGAAAGAGTTTAGGAATCTTCACTATTTCATTTTAAACTTTTTCCCATTATATAGAAGTGATACTTCTAGAATGAGTAGGACTGTGACAGCAGTCAGAGCAGGAAAGTGGATTTAAACAGGGGAAGTGATGGGAAAGAAGCCGAGGGGAGGGGATAAGGGGGTGGTGGGTGGCAGCTGGGCCTCCACAGGCCTGGTGAGTGATTCTGTCAAGGAACAGGGACGGTGACAGTACAACTCTGAGTTAATCTGTTGAAGATCGGGGACAGTGTTGAGAGGATCATGGGGATGAGCATGTGGTTTGGCTGCCACACTTATTTCTTTCTGCAACTTGAGGGTTTTCTTGTTCCTGTGTGTGGAGATTTGGGGCACTGGGCAAAATCCTGGACACTGAGGAACTAGCAGAAATGGGATATTAATATTAGCAACACAGCTGCTCGTATCAGGAGCCAGCTGATACAGGACAGGGAGAGGATATGAAATCAGGACACCTTGGTTAAGTCTGGCATTCCATTCCCTTGCCTGGTAACCTTGGCAGTTCTCTTAATGTCATTGAGTTTCAGTTTTCTTTTCCATAAAATAAAGGTTTTAAAAAAAAGACTGCCCTTCCTGCCTAACCGGATTATCATGAGGATTAAATGAGATAATGGCGAGCACGCTTCCTTATCTGTAAAGCCTGATGCAAATGTTTGCTGTCATAATCTTATTGATAGGGTCAAGATGCCAGTGGAAGTGAAAACCTAGAGCCCAGAGTGAAGGTGACACAGCATTTAGCCAGCTATGTGAAACAGGTCCTTTTTAATCTTAACTGGTCCTGGGTCAGCTGGGCAGCTGCTGTCCTCAGATGTGGTTCTTCTGGAATGTATAATAATGGGGGGGGGGGTGGCGACTATCAGAGTGATGCCCATTGCTACATCACTGTTATGCAAAGCTGGTGATAGGATTGTTTGCTAAAGTGAAACTAAAAAGGCTCTAAGTTTGAGAAGCAGATGAGATGCTGGAATGTGGCCGTGTTAACACCTTGTTAAATAAACTTTTCATTTATTAATGACAACCCCCATACCTTAGCTTGGATAGCACATTAAAGAAAACATAATGTGTTCATTTCTCTGAAGTGATTTCTCCAAAGAAAACCATGTTGCCGTCTTCAGATGGGGACAGTGTGGCACAGGTTCTGGGATCAGAACATATCTGGCTTCTAATTCGAACCCTTTGGGCCCCTCACTAGCTTTGGACCTTTGGGGCAAGTCATTTAACCCACCACGTCTGTTTCCTCATCTGTAAAATGGGAATGATAGTACCTATCACAGAACTATTCCAGATATTTACATGAGTTAATGTATATAAATTACTTAGCACATTGCTCTGTACATAAATAAATGCTAGATAAATGTTAGCTATGGTTGTTATTACAGTAACAGGCATATATAATACTATTGTTAGCATTGTAGTTAACTCAGAGGATCTCTGTGTGTTGAATGACTCCTCAGGCTTCCTGACAACGTCACCTTTGAGGAAGGTGCCCTGATTGAGCCACTTTCTGTGGGGATCCATGCCTGCAGGAGAGGCGGAGTTACCCTGGGGAACAAGGTCCTTGTGTGTGGAGCTGGTAAGAAACAGAAGCCACCCTGTTGTGGTTTCATTGACTGGGAATGTGGGGATCCCTGTGCCCATCTCATTTCCCCTCCAAGGCTTGGATTTGTTCTAGAATCTTTCTGAGTAAGGAAGGATTGCAGTGTACCATTCCCTCAGTGACTAGCACTTTGCTAAACAAATGAGTATCTGCAGACATGATATTAACTAAGGTTACATTTCCCAGGCAACATAGCCCTTTTGTTCATTTAAAGAATGAATTGGCTGGGCACAGTGGCTTATGCCTATAATCCCAGCACTTTGGGAGACCAGAGCAGGTGGATCACTTGAGCCCAGGAGTTCGAGAACAGTCTAAGCAACATGGTGAAACCCCGTCTCTACAAAAAAATAAAATTAGCTGGTGTCGTAGTGTGTATCAGTGGTCCCAGCTACTCAGAAGCCTGAGGTGGTAGGGTCACTTGAGCTTGGGAGGTTGAGGCTGTAGTGAGCCATGATTGTGACACTGAACTCCAGTCTGGGTGACAGAACAAGACCCCATCTCAAAATAAACAAACAAATAAAAGGAATTAATCTGGGCTGGGTGTGGTGGCACATGCCTGTAAATCCTAGCACTTTGGAAGGCTGAGGCAGGCAGATCACTTGAGGTCAGAAGTTCAAGACCAGCCTGGCCAATGTGATGAAACTTTGTCTCTACTAAAACTACAAAAATTAGCCAGGTGTGGTGGTGTGCCCCTGTAGTCCCAGCTACTTGGGAGGCTGAGGCAGGAGAATTACTTGAACCTGGGAAGCAGGGGTTGCAGTGAGCCAAGATCATGCCACTGCACTCTAGCCTGGGCGACAGAGTGAAACTCTTGTCTCAAAAAA